GGCAACCCCAAGAGACGCATGAGCCCTGCTTTTTAAATCTTGAGAAGTGTGGGTCAGAGAAATTAAGGGGCCAGCTGAAAGTGACACACTGGTCAATGGCAGAACCAGAAATAGAAAGGCCATCTGTCGCTCTCTGTCTTGGGATCCCTGAACCTCCGGTAAGAACTCTGGCTACCGTGAAGCGAAGCGGACAAAGCCAGATGTAAAAGGCCAACATTGTCTAGTTCCATTTACAGCCCATATTCGGGATTGAAGAGAGCCCCCGGGTGTGGTGGTTACTCATTGGGCTGCTAACCACAAGGTCTGCAGTTTGAAACCACCAGCTGCTCAAAGGGAGAAAGTTTGAGGCTTCCTACTCCCAGAAAGATATACAGTCTCGGAAACCCACGGGGCACGTCTACCTGTCCTAGGGGGTCTCTATGCGTCAGCATCCACTCAATGGCAGTGAGTTTCCTTTGTTTGTTTGAGACCAGGTTTGGGGAAACCACAGAGACACAAAGTAGAGTCGCTGTCGCCAGGAGATGGGGGCCGGGACATTGGCAAGTTCTGAGTTGCTTTTGGGGGGCCATGGAAATGCTCCAGAATTCAGGAAACCACGACAGTCACAGGATGTCACAACATATTGTAAAAGCCACTAAGTTGGGGGGGGAGGGGCATATGAAACATTAAAAAAAAATTTTTAAAGCCACTAAGTTGTATGCACACACCGAAAGATGCTCAAAGCGGTGACTTTTCTCTCACTTCAAAATAAAGGTCACTTGAAGGTTAAAAACACAAAATAAGACAATCTTGAGACTAATCCTCAACACGCAATAAATGCCAGGTCAGCATTGAATAAGGAAATGACACACACACACACACACACACACACACACACTGAGGAGTAAAGCATTACCTTGGGGGAAGCTGCTGCTCTATTGAAAAGCTGGCGCTTTCTATGTCCATACAGAATTACGGTCTCGGAAACCCACCACAGCAGGCCTGCCCTGTCCTGTCCTATAGGGTCGCTGCGAGTCAGCAGGGAATTCGGTGTTCTTTGGGGTGCCTTGGACACGGCCACAGGCATCCTGAGAGAAAGAAAACCAACTGGTAGCTCCATGTTAGGCCAAGAGGTGCCAGGCTTGGCTACCAGGCTTGTGTGCTAGAATTCCTCTGTACAGCTGGTGACCTTAAAAATAGAATTTCCCCCCTGTCATGGTAATAAATATGGATGGTGACTTGGGAAGATTTTTTTTTTCTTTTCTCATTTCAGATTTCAGTGTCCTTCTGAGTCCATTCCTGTACTGGAGTATGCCACCCTATTTAAAGGAACGCATGTGGACAGTCAGGGTGTCAAAGATGGAAAACCGAGCGTGTTCATGTTCTTCATGGCACCCATCATATCCCCAGTCATTTTAAGTATGGTGCTATTGTGGCTCTTTTTGTTGTTGTTGTTGTTGAGTACTGTCGAGTTGATTGCAATGCATAGCGACCCTCTAGGACAGAGTGGAATTGCCCATAGAGTTACCAAGGCTAAATCTCGATGGGAACAGGCAGCCTCAATTTTCTCCCAAGGAGTGGCTGATGGGTTTGAATGACCAGCACTATGGTTGGCAGCTTAATTCTTAACCCACAGAGCCACTAGGGTTCCTTGGACCCCCTATGGAATGTAAGAATTCAACCCACTGAGCCACCAATGTCTTCTTCCTGCAACAAGGCCAACATAGCAGTAGACCAAGCATAAGCCATCAGATTTGACACACTGGATGGCTTCTGCTTGGAAGGAAAACCAAGCAAAAGGAAGACGAGTGTAGCAGCTTGCACTATTGCTCTGAATGGTTCGTTCTCAAGCCTGCAGAACATGCATCCCCACCTGTGCTTCTATGGGAAGGATATACATACAACTCTACCTTGGGAGTAGTGAGGTCGGCACATGACTTGCTTTGACCAATGGCATGTGAGCCAACATGATGCTTGCCATTTCTCAGTAGAGGTTTTTAGAGTCTTTGTATATTTCTAAGGAGCCCTGGTGGCACAATGGGATAAACATTATGCTGCCAACACGGGGTTGGTGGTTCAAACCCATCAACTACTCTGCAGCAGAAAGACAGGTTGTCTGCTTCTATTGGGGAAGCCCTCAGGAGCAGTGCCACTCTGTCCCGTAGGGTCACCTGTGTCTACATGGGCTTGATGGCAGTGGGTGGAGAGATTGTATGTTTCCACTAGTTCTCTGGCTCTGTGCCCTTTTACCATGAGAATAGGTCTCGGCACATTCTGTTCGGATCATCAATCAACGTC